CGCAGGCCCGGCCCTCGTACCTCGGCGCGGAACCAACCCCTATGCGACCTCGGCGCCCTTCGGGGGCGGAGACCTCGCCCGCTGGCCCTCGTCGATCGGGCGCGTCCTGTCTGCCCCCGGCGACGTCGTCGTCCGTCTCGCGCGAGCCGGCAGTGTCGCTCGGAACGGGTCGGCAAGATGATCGGCGCTCTTATTGGCGCGCAATCCACGTACAGTACGCTCGTGCAGACGACCATCGGTGAAACGAGAGTAATAACACGCGGCGCTATCCACCTCGCTGTCGTTCGAGGGTGAGACGTCATTCGCTGAGAACATCTGAGATCATTGCTGATATGACCACGTTTCTAACCTCGTCGTCGTCGCGCCTCGTGCCGCAGCAGCTAATCTGCAAGTCGACGGTGCCACGATAAGAGTGGCAGCTGGCACGCGTAAAAACACCCGCCGTACCGCAGGGAAAAGCAGCTGAAAAGCGCGCGTCGTGGCGCGGGTATACCGCATCGCGCGATGCTGGACCTCAAGAGCAGCGGTACCACCGCGGCGGAGCTACCACGCACCACGGCGTTCACCAATCTATCGATGCTGTTCGCCGGTATGTTCGACGTCCACGCGTCTGTGCGCGCGGAATCGCGCATTTAAGCGTGCCAGATGTTCGGTAGTGTGGTGATAAATCGCGCTCTCACGCGCTCTCTCGGTACTTACCACGCACGATAACGCACGTGTCCACCTGCCTCCGAATTCCGCGCTCGAAACGCCATGTCCCCATGTTGCTACCCCCTGTCCTACGCGCGAGTGCCTTTATAAATCTTTTCGTGCTACAATGAAAATAAGAGCTTGCGATTTTATACTTAATATATCGTAAACATTTGTCTTTTTATGCGGAAAATATCGCGCATATTTTTGTAAATATTTATATTATGTTATTTTATTATTTTAAATAAAATATATAAAATACGTAAATATACTTTTAGAAGCAGATATACAAGTCTAATGGGGCCAGACACAGGATTAAAGCTTTAGTAGCACGTAACTTTTTTGCGTGTTTCGTGTTCGATAGAAAATGCGTATATTTTTAAACGCATTTATTCGCGATAAATGTAGTTAATCTTATTAAAACAGAATATGTAAAGTGTCTTGAAATTACTATATTGCCAAGAAATAATTAAAAAATTCAATGCATATTCATTGTAAGTCTTTCTGAAATTTCTATTTCATTGTCTCACAAAACTATTGTTGAGTCTCTCATTATCTCGAATATTTGTATCAAGTTCTTCAGAGCATTTCATTATTTTATTACTAAAACATTAAGCTATATGCAATAGATGTTGATAATTATGATAATGCAGAAGTGATTGTTAGTGATCACGTGACTGGTAAAAGTGACAGAAAAAAGCAAACTTATTAATTAAATTAAACAAACTATATCTTGTAAGATTATCTTATTGTTAGCTCACGTATAATTTCACGTAACTTTCGACGTATTGATAATTCGAAATTAAGTTTATATTTTTTTTTTATTTATCTTTATTAAATTTTTGAATCATGTGTTATCAATTCCTGTCGAAGACTGATCCATGGATCGGAATTCATGAAGTACAAACAAAACGAAAATATATTTTACTTTTGCCATTGTTGAATTTTATTGAGCTTATTTATTATATTAATGTTATTTGCAATAAATACATTAATAGAAAATTTGGGAAACTTAAAATAAAAAATGATAAATTCCATAATAAAACTGTAAATAAATCTTTGAATAAAACATGTGTCATATTATATAATATTGTCCTAATAAATATTATAATTAATAATAAATAATAATGAATAATATAGTTAATAAAAAATATATCTTAATTTATTGTACATGCAACATTATAATTACTCTGTAAATCAAATCAAAATGTTTATTACAAATAGTATTAGTTGTATATCCAAGGATTCGGTAATTCATCGGAATTCTCGCTCTTTAAGCTATCTATATTCCTCTTAAGAAAGAAAGAGTTCATAAGGATTTTGCGATGTAGATTTCGTAATCTTGCAACACAGTTTCTCAAGAAACCCTAAGAAAATCCGACGCGTATTACTGAACGATTGGCGCACCCCTTAGCACTTGAGAAACGTGAAATCCGAGGATCCATTAATGGACTCCGGGGTCTCCAGATCAAATGAAGGGGGCAGTAAAGACGAAAGATCGAGCCGCAGTGAGCGCGCGGGTAGCTCGTTTTGTTTGCTCGGAAAGTCGGAGTTTCTGCCGCGCGGTGTGTGACGTACCTACGTATGTACACACGAGGGCCGACCCTTTGTGCCAATAACTGCGAAATGAAAATATATCTGTTCGCAAACATGCCACCGACGGCGATGGTGACGCGTATGCTCGCTCGGCGCCGGGAGCTCTCGAGAGAACTCTTGCGTGGCGAATAGAACATCGCCGTCGCTATCGCGAACAACTAAGCGCACGTGTTACAAATAATTCCATATTTGTTCAATAAATTTTTTGCCTTTTTTGCTCGGATATTATTCGACCAAGCAAACCGTTAGATCGGCGATTATTGATCAAGTAGATTCAGAAAAGAGGAAATTTAAACAAAAACATTTTTAAGTATAAAAGAAGTAAGTTGTTACAATTGCAAGATTAATATATGACTGGAAGAATGTGTAATAACAAAAAGTGGCTTACGAATTATGTAAAGAGTATCACGCAAAAAAATATATATAATAATTTTTGCTGCTCCAGCTAGAATTATCGCTGTTTTTTGTATCTGATAGAAAATTATGTATCATACGCATAGAATTTATAACACAAATCTAAATTCTATCTCTGTCATCTATATGATTAGATGCAATACATATCCAATATCGCAATACTTGTTAGAAATTTATTTTTTATTTTAGCTAATTAGTATTTAGATAATTTTCGCTATAACTGCAAGATCACTTTTTTGAGTGATTGCTAATTAGAAAATGCTGATTTAATTTTATACAAAAAGAATAGTTTTGCTGAACCATTTAAAAATTTAGATACAGTGTGCAAATAATTTCATTGAACCATTAAAATAATTATGTAAAACTAAAATCTTGATACAAAAAATTTTAACATTCCAGCAACCAGTTTAAGTGGTCTACATAATTATTTTGATAGTCCGAACGAAATTATTTTTAGATTTATATCTAACTAAATTTTTAGATACGTCAGCAAAACCATTCTTTTCATGTATATGAGATTTGTGTAAAAAATAAATACGATAAATTAAATATGATAATATTGAAAAATGATATTTATTTTCTTATACTTATTCTTACGTTTTTCTTATATTGTATACTACAGTTACATGTGTTTTAGATATTTCTTATAAATAAAATTTAATTCGTTAAAATTGTTTCATCTTTGATTCTTGTAAACTAAAAATTATTATGATACATAAAAACGAGTAACTCTTCTAATTTTAATGTCTAATATTTCAGAAATTGGGTTTTTATGATTATGAAAATTATTATGATTAATACAGTTTGTACATCTTCTCATTTTTTTTCTACACAAAAAGAATGGCTTTGCTGAAAATATCTAAAAAGTTAGCAAGACACAGATCTAAAAATAATTTTATTGAACCTTTATAAATATTGTATGAGAGATTCAAAATGATTGCTATAATGTGAAAACTTTTTGCAGCATTATTTATTATGCTTGAATTTTCTACGTAATTATTTTGATGGTTCAAAATTATTTCAGATCTATATCTATCTAAATTTTTAAATACTTCAGCAAAATCGTCTTTCCACATAACATATGTATTTTATAAATGAATGAAACAGTTAAAATTTTAAAAATTTGTGTAGTCACAAATTTTTCAACGTCTGCAACTTTGAACGTAAATAGCTCAGCTACATTCTTCTTTATTATACAAATTTACGTCGAATCGAGAATCAATTTTAAAGACGAGATATGCTTATGCAACGCATATATATAAATTCTCTCGCGTATATTTCGCTCTCACGCAGGAACGATCAGACGTTAAAATATCGTAAAGATTTCGCGAAGAAGAAATTGCGATTTTCCCTGTCGAAGCTGCCACGATAACTAGAAGCACTTTCAATCAGATATACTTTACGGCTTCTCATGATTCCTCGAATCGATTAACCGGTAATTGCGGACGATATATTCGCCCGCGCTACTGACGTGACCTCAAAAAATGTAATCACAATCCGGCTAAATCACGAAATATCTGCGTGGGTCGATAAGCCGTAAATTTCCAACGCGCGTCGAAACAAATCGAGAACTTTGCACTGGGAATAGAAAGAAATGATTGAAAAATATTTCCCCTGCTTTCAGATGCTAGCAGCTCTTATAAGGGAGGTTGGAGCCACGCCACGTCGCCGGCACCTGGTCAGGGTGAGTCTCACTTGAGTTTATTTACGAAGGTGTTTAGCAATATTAAGAAAAGAATGTATGAAGACAAAATTGTATTTATATACACAATTGTATTTAGCAAGTTTAATTCAGATAGTAGATTTAAATTCAATTCATTTCATTTATAGAATACTAAAAGAAATATAGTTATACAATCTTGAAAATATATGTTCCGTCTCTTATTATTTGCAATTATAGAAAACACTTTGATATTATTAATATTAAACAATAACTATTTACACCATTGCGCTTTTTACATCTTTTTTTGAAACAAATCACAAAGACTAAATTTTCTCATTCATACAAATGCATCTCAACGTGGATATGAAAATAATTTATATATATACATATACATACATATTTCTCATATTAATATATAAAAAAATTTTGCTGAAATATCTAAAAATTTAACTAGATATAGAAAATACACAATAATTATGTAGACTCTTTTAAATAATTATATTGAATGTTCAAGTTGATTGCTAAAATGTCACTTTTTTTGTATTATCGTCAATGTCTATACATTCTATATAATTATTTTGATTAATTATTTTCAGATCTGTATTTGGCCTAATTTTTGTATACTTCAGCAAAACGTTCTTTCTGAAAGCCAAAGCATTAACTTTGATTGTGTAGTAGCTAGAACTCACAATTAGATTATGTAGCCCTATTCCAGCCCTAATCACCACTGACAATCAACAATTGGACTTAACTCTTTCATTTCTTTGATTTCCGTCATATCAATGTCAAACATCAAACCAGGGTGATTTTCTGAAAATTTCGCGATGCCCCCTGCGTGCCCCTCCTTGTCTCATTGTCCTCGCAAAACTCCTTCTATCTGAGAGGGAAGATTTTCTTTTTCCTCGTTTTCGGTTCGCTAGACGCTACGTATACCTAAAGGGTGGGTCGCGGCGCCGCTGGGTGCAAGTTCACGCGTCGCGACGCTCCGGCTTGTTCGAGCAAGCTTTGTGCGTGCAGACGCGTAGAGGATGCGAGAATGTGGGTGTTGGTGTGGGTGTAGGTGGCGTCCCGGGTGCTTTGTGGCGCGTTGAACCGCGGCCCCTTTGTCGTCGACGGAGAGCGAGCGAACGAGCGAGCGGAGGAGAGAGAGGGTGAGGAAGGGTGGCAGAGAGCAAGCCCCGGGGGCTGTGTAGAGACGCCTGCCCGCACAGTGGTAACGCCGAAGAGCAGGCCCCACCCTGTGTGGACGCCAACACCAACGCCTGGCACAATCATCTCGCAGAGATCACAGAGACCTGCCCGCAGGCATCTTTGTTATAAACGGCTTTTGGTCGCCACCAACCAGGTTACAACAGTCCGGGCGCTGTTCGAGATCACCTCCGTGGGGCGAGAGAATGTAAAAGTCTTGACTTTAAACGCGCATGAAACCCGTTGGCGCCATCAGTGTCCACTTCGTTCTTGTATTCAGAATTGCATTCACGACTCGCGCATTCTGCCGTGTCACACCTTAGCACCTTAGGCTTTAAACGTAATTTAACACAATGTATGATATGACGAATATGCAGCAGACTACGTATGATTTTGCATTATAATTTTGTGTTAAGAATAGTGTGCAAAAATAATGTCCTAAGATTGTCATGTAAAATTGAAAATTATAGTTCTATATATAAATAAAAATAACGGATCTGCGTTGCTTATTATTTCTTATTCATAAATTAGCTTCAATTTACCATAAATTTTTTATCGGTACTATTATAACTATTATAACTAAGAGAATAGCGCAGAACGAAATTTTGCTCTTTGGACTTTATTTTGAAGCACTTTATAAAAATTTGAATAAATTATCTGAAAAGATCTCTTCTTAATAATTAGAATTAAATAATTAGAATTGTATTATTTAATAGGATTCTATTAATTAGATTCTTTTTAGAGAAGACTTCTCGGAAGGCAGACTTTGGATCCCTTTTTCGCATTGCATTGGAAATTTAATTTTCAGGTATTTCTCGCGATGACGCACACATAAGTCGCTTTATGGTATGGACTCGAGGGCATTTTCGAATAATGTGCTCCAGCACCGTTCTCTGATCTTGACAGGCGCAGGGTCGCCTTTGACTCGATTTGCACTTTGCGCATCGGCGCGAAAGGGAACGACATCGTCGTCATCGCCGAGATTCATGAAATTACATGACGTGACGTGTGTTGACCCGAGGGCACTTTGTGGTCTTCCGGACCGCGTGAAATTGAAATTACAAGCTTGTCTCTTCGCATAGCGACCCGACTTCAAGTTATCGCGCGCTATTTTCGAGATTCGTTAGATAATTACCGTGTAAAGGATAACACTAGAAGAAGTTGAAGAGGCTTAAGAGATTGTAACGCCTATCCATAAAACATAAATAACGAGCATAAAGTGTTTAAAAGTGTACTCGACTCTGAAAACATTATTTCAATAATACTAACATAAAAGGCGATGGTACTTGTCACTTAAATGCAATGACAATGTGAACATTTAAATAAATGATATAATATTTTAGTTAAAATAACTTTAAATAGCTTAAATTCTAATTTCTACATGTCATATAATACAATATATATCCGTATTGTATAAATTTTATCTCTCAAAATGTATCTACCTTTGTGTTAATAATATTTCAACGAGATTGTCATAATATTGATACAGTTTCTTTGGCTGATAAATTTTAAAATTTTTAAATTTATGAACTTAAACTCTTATTTTTGTTTAAATGAATTTTATATAATAATAATTCATCTAAACAAAAATAAGAATTTAAGTTTATAAATTTTTAAATACCAAAAAAACTGTATCATGTACGCGAAAAAAATTCAGCGAATTGCTTGTAAGCGAAGCGTTTTAATGCAAATTACTTCCTGACTTTACTAGCGATGTTCCGTAACGTCATGCAAGGACAATGATGAACTGACACTCATGAATTAACACATTAGAGATATATCTGTAAACCGAGTAATTCGAGTATGTTCATTAATGTTGCTCGCGTGTTTGGTAGCCCAAAGTTATTCCATGTCCCGAAGCAGGTCATGCTCATGTAACCTTTCCGTACCGAAATGCGCACTGAAACGTTGTACTGTTCCACGCGATCCAATCTAAAGTCGAAGTGGTCAAAAAAGCTTCCTCGCGTGAATTGCCTGAAGCTTAATTATCTGTGGCGCTGTCAGTGTTAGCAGTCCAAAATTTTATAGTTTTTGGACAGATTTCCCAAGTGGATTTATTACTCTCGAAAAACAGTTCAAATGTATCATATTTGATTTAAGTTACTCCAGTTATGGAAGGCATTAAGTACGTATATATCAGATCAATTTGATTTAAACAATTTTTCTTTCATTTTAGAGAAAATTAAAAGAGACTAGCTTCGCGTACAATCTTCTATAATTAAATCTTGAATTTTATAAAAATTTAATAACATATTCTATTACATATTCTATAGAATAAAATTGTCTCTGTCTAGATGAAATATAACTAGCTACGTATCTTTATAATTTCCTACCAAACGAGAACTATTAAAGCTTGATGAAGAGCTTTGTATGATTGTACTTTTCCCTCTTCTTCATATTCTTCTTTATAATATAAACGGAAGAGAAAAAGCGCTTCGGTCGAATTCATCGGATATAAGCAAGGATTGATCTGAACGCTGCTTCCATTGCGCGATGGTTTATACCTTTACATCGCGAAAATAATATAAACCTCAGCGGGTCGATTGGAGAATTGTCGAGGCGCGCTGGCGCGTCCGTTGAGAAACATCACGTCGCGTTATCGACCACCAGCCGAGGGTTTCAACGGGTCTGCCCACTGGCCAGGAAAAGCGACTTTAAGACGACTCGTAGAACAATAAAAGCACTCTCTCTTTCTCCTCCTACCTCCGTCGACGTTGCTGCCCTTCCGCTCCCTGTACGCCTTGCGTGACTTCCTGACCCGAGCCGACCGACCCCTCGACCCCCTACGCGTGTGTATGTATCTGAGGGCAACCTCCCTATGATAATTACGTACTTCGAAGCGGCGCGTGCCTCGGCAATTCGCTCACGCGGCCGATCGCGTATGGCGTGACTATCCTCGACACCATAGGTAACTATCTCACCGTCGCGTCGCCCTAACCCATTATCCAGTTTTGATTTTACTTTCTTTAAAATATGTACGAAGAGATTGACGCGCGCGCTAGAAGGTACAATTAGGATATCCCGATAATGAAAAGTTCGAAAGATATCTAAAGACGATCTAATCTTTTCAACGCCCTTCAAGTGTTCTTTAGATACCTAATCAGATTTTTTATGTATGTAAAGACTTTCTTGAAAATTTAAGTACATGAAACGTATGATTTCGACAGAAATGTGTATGATAAAAATTATTATTTAATCTTAACCCTTATTGTACAAGAAAGAGTCATCACTAATGAGCGATTTCTGTTCGTGCAAGTTTCTTTGAGTCTTTCAATAATTATAAATTATACATTTTATTATTTTCCAAAATGAAATGTCCAAAATGAAATATTTATTCTAGAAAGTTGAAAGTATGTTGGTGAATTTTAGAGATTTTTTTTAATCATTCTAAACAGGTGAAAAAAACGGACGGATTCTGCCCCCGTTTTATATGGAGGCATCAAATTGTAGCTGGTACATTAAGAGTTAATTAAAATATTCACATGGATTCAAATCATGCTCTGGACTTCTTTCAGTCTAGAGCAAAGATTAAAAAGCTATCTAAATAAATACATAGTTTTTGTGTGGAATTTTAATAAAAACTGAATTTCCAAATTCCAAATTTTTCAACTAAATACATTCCGTCTAATTATAATATGTTTGATTTTTCGAAGTGTTTACATTATTTCTTGTAATTCAATATCTTTCTATCGCGATTTTAGCCAGTGTTACGATTAGGAAGAAATAGATTAACAACGTATAAATCGATTTCGAATCCGTGAGAATTTCCTAAAAGATTGAAGCACGGATTCTAACTTATCGTGAGAGAGAGAGAGAGAAAGAGAGAGAGAAGG